TTCGCGATTTTCTCGTAAAAAATGCAATTTTTTTTCAAACAAAATACCTCATGATTTGTTTCATGTTATGGTCTATCTATGGTTAAAATATGAGCAAAATCTATATTTTGAGCTTTGTCACGATTGTCTGGTTTTTACAGACATCTTCTCTTAATACGTTACTAAATTCCTTAAAATACACCATGCATGGGTGTGTAGTGGAAATATTGAAAGAAAATTGTTAGTAACAGACTACATTTTGGGTATTTTATTACGCGAGCGAGCCGGAATACTTTGGCAAAGTCTTGCACTTTAATTTTAACAGCAGTATAAGCCAACTTCAGTTTCTATGGTGTGCGAAGTTTTAAGAATACTCTTTTACTTTTGAATTGATTGTTATTAATTCAAAAACGTTTTTTAAAAAAATCTAAAATCGTGGGACTGAAAAGCTTCTATAGCTTTAATTATGACTCTTTTGTTGAAGTTCTTACTGAGTTTCGAAGCGCATTATCCTGGAAGCTTCTCCTTAGACAATCTCGTACCCAGAGCCTTTGTTTCTTACTGCGCATGCTCGACGAAATTTCCTCCTTGCATCATCTTCTTGTTTTCCTTTTTCTTTTCGTTTTCGAACTTCTTCTTCTTCTTTCTGTTATTCTTTTTTTCCTTTTCTTTTTCTCCTTCTCCATTAGTTACAGTCGCGGCGTTCATCAGTCAAGAGAGCCAACAATGAGTGAACCACAGACGACAACAACGGAAGATCCAAAGTCACAAGCGCCACCTGATTATCAGCAGTCTTCTCCAGAACAATACCCCATTCAGTCTCCGCCCATGATGCAGCAAGGTCAGCCAATGATGCAGCAAGGTCAGCCAATAATGACGCAGCCAGGTCAGCCAATGATGCAGCAAGGTCATCCAATGATGCAGCAAGGTCAACCAATGATGCAGCCAGGTCAGCAATTGATGCACCAAGGTCAACCAATGATGATGCAGCAAGGTCAAATGGCACCAATGCATTCTCAAACTACCAGCAATACAAACGTGATAATGATCAACCAGCAGCCTGTTTCTGCCCGTGTTGCCCCAAGAGAGTGGAGTACGGGATTGTGTGGCTGCTTTGACGACTGTGGCACTTGTAAGTGTAAAAACGTTCTTTCTGTACTGGGAAACAAGGCACATGATACAGGACGAGAATACACATGGTACAGGATGTAGGGTACAGGGCACAGGGGACAGGGCACAGGGCACAGGGCACATGGTACACGATGTAAGATACAAGGCACAGGGTACACGATGAAGGATATAGGGCACATGTTAAAGGATGGAGGACATAGGGCACAGGGTACAGGGTACAGGATGGAGGATATAAGGCACAGGGTACAGGATGAAGGATATAGGGCACAAAGCACAGGGCACAGTACAAGCGACAAAGGACAGGGTCACAGTAGGTACAAGGGACAGGGTCACAGTTGTGTACAAGGGATAGGGACACAGTAAGTACAAGGGACAGGGTCACAGTATGTACAAGGGACAGGGACACAGTAAAGGATGTAAAGGATGGAGGATATAGGGCACAGGGTACAGGACGAAGGATATAGTGCACAGTGTACATGATGGAGGATATAGGGCACAGGGTACAAGATGGAGGACATAGGGTACAGGATGAAGGATATAGGGCACATGATACAGGATGAAGGATATAGGGCACTGGGTACAGGGTACAGGATGGAGAATATAGGGCACACTGTACAGGATGAAGGATATGGGGCACATGATACAGGATGAAGGATAAGGGTGCACAGGGTACAGGATGAAGGATATAGGGCACTTGATACAGGATGAAGGATATAGGGCACATGATACAGGATAAAGGATATAGGACACCGTGTACAGGATGAAGGATATAGGGCACATGATACAGGATAAAGGATAAAAAGGCACAAAGCGCAGGGCACAGTACAAGGGACAAGGGACAGGGTCACAGTAGGTACAAGGGACAGGGTCACAGTTGTGTACAAGGGACAGGGACACAGTAGGTACAAGGGACAGGGTCACAGTAGGTACAAGGGACAGGGACACAGTAGGTACAAGGAACAGGGTCAAAGTAGGTAAAGGGACAGAGTCACAGTGGGTACAAGGGACAGGGTCTCAGTTGTGTACAAGGGACAGGGACACAGTAGGTACAAGGGACAGGGTCACAGTAGGTACAAGGGACAGGGTTACAGTTGTGTACAAGGGACAGGGTCACACTAGGTACAAGGGATAGTGTCTCAGTTGGGTACAAGGAACAGGGTCACAGTGCGTACAAGGGACAGGGTCACAGTTGTGTACAAGGGACAGGGTCTCAGTTGGTTACAAGGGACAGGGTCACAGTAAGTACAAGGAACAAGGTCTCAGTTGGGTACAAGGGACAGGGGACGGGTGTACAGGTCATAATGTATAGGACACAGGGTACAGGGCACAGAGGACATGGTTCGAGTAGGGTTCAGGGGAGGGCGTTACAGGGCTCAGGGCTAGCTCTGACAGTTGACCTGTTTTGAAACCAATTATTTATCACGAGTTTTTTTCTTCGTTTAAGGTTGGTATGCGATTTTCTGTGGACAATATTTATTGTGTGACCTTTCTCAACGTCTAGGAGAGGGCAGATGCTTCGTCTGTTGTTGTCCCTGTGCTCTTCTTAGCCTCAGGATAAAATTCAGAGCTGAGCAAAACATCAAGGTATGAATGTTATCTAACCGCTCCACGAGGTTTATTAATTCGTATATAATTTTAATATACATTCGTTAGGGATCACTGTGCAATGACTACTTGACGGTTGACTGCTGCTACCTTTGCGCCTTGTGTCAGCTGGCGAGGGAGATTGACCACGTTCAACGCATACAAAGAGTCAATTGAGGTTGTAAATCTCATGGTAACTAAACGGTATTCGCTAATTTTCAGAAATTATCGTTTACAACCGAGCTTGATAGTAGAGTAGTAATACGTAATGAATTTTTATCGTTTTTCTGCCAGTTATATAATCAGCATTTTATTCTATCTTATTTTGAAACCGTTAAAAGAAACTATAGGAAGGTTTCTGATGCCGTTCGGTGCATGAGAAATACGTCAAAATTTACGAGTAGACCATGTGTAATGATTATTGTATAGCCTGTTAGTGTCTTCTTGTCACCATGCGTCAGATATAGGGACGCTAAATGAAGACATAAATGATATAACTACTTATAAATGCATTATAGTGTCCTTGACTGTAATATAACCTTTCAATGTTATTCCATTCACAAACACAAAAACACTTGGACCTCCTGTGGTTTATCACATATAATCGATCGTGTTCTTTTGTATTTCAACTGTGATTTTTGTAGTGAATTAATCTAAATGAATATAGAAAAAAGAAGGGAGTTCAAGTTCATGAAGCAAGTAAATAAGGTCTGGGTCGGCGCACTAAATCTTTCAATGATCCCTTCCCCCCACGGGCTGAGAAAGTCACTGGCTGTTGCTCGATGAGCTGTTCCTTTGTCATGCCACATCACCAAAAAAACCTCCCCACCCCACCCCTCTTCCAAAAGTTTCATTTTGGAGGGTAACCAATCACAAAACTATCCCAAAATGAAACGTTCTTCATTTGAATATACCCTGCCTACTTTTATCTGTACAATAATGATTAACTCTTCATTCCAAGTATTTTGCGTGTTCAGAACATTAAAGGGTTTGTTGTATTGAAAATGTATTGGGTTACCAAGAAATTTATGAGGTGCCATATGGGACAATATTGAATGGCAATAATTTATTTTTATTTATTTTTCGTGTCCTTCCTTCCTTCCTTCCTTCCTTCGAATTAGTAAAATTCGTTTGATGATTTTTTAATACTGAGACGTTTTTAGGAATCTTGCATGCGATTATAAATTAGGGCGTGCTTGGAAAGATTTATTCGTTAGTATACATTGCTCTAGCTTGTATTATGTTATGGATAGCGACCAACAGAAAACCAATACAAGACATAATGGATAACAGTTAACTCTTAATTCATCTTTGAAATTCTTTTAATGAAGTATTTACAGTTTTTAGTGTAATTTCGGATCTTGATGGATGAAGGCGTCCATCCATAGAGGTCAACTCAAACACTCTCTGCTGAAAGAGCAGCACAACGGCCGGCGTTGTAGTTATTTACTTCCTGTGCAATATTATTCTGATAATTTATTCTATTACGGGTGACTTTCGTTTGTCTCATCCCTCTGTCTGCCTTTCTCTGCTTCCCTCTGCCTCTTCCTAACTTATTACCTTATTGCAACATACCTTTTCCAAGAACAAGAGGAATTACCTTTTTTTTCGTAAATTGTATGTATTCGTTCTCCTTTGCAGACTCGATTTTGTGACTTTCGAATTCCAAATCTGAATTCCGATCTTGTGGTAACCTGTCAAATAAAGTGCAGTAAAATGACACTTCAAAATATTTTAAAGTGAAGTAACTGAAATATTATAATAACGTATTAGGGGGAATATGCTATTTCTATAAAAACATAATCATAACTTCCTTAGATTACTTTTAATATTACCAAGATCATTCGACTTGTGAATATTTGAAGGAAGCCAATTCCAGAAACTAGCTGCAACATATAGCTAAAGGACTCTTCCATTGCAAATTATATTTAGGGAGTTTGAGGATATAGCCATCACCTCTTAAATTATATTTGGTTTTCCTAAAATTGCAAAGATTTCTAATATATGAAGACCCCGCACTACCAAATAAGCATTTATACAGTAGTACACTGAAGAGACTGATATATTTGTCTCTGCTTTTAAATAGACACGTTAGCGATACTTAGTAATAGTTCATATGGGACAGATTTCCCACTGACCTAATAGTGTTCCGCCGAGAATATAATATTGGCGTTATCTTAACGGTCGCTTTGTAATTTTCCTACTTCTAAAAGAAGAGGGCCACAATAATCTAAATGAAGAAGAATACTGAAATGCCTTATTTATAATTATTAGCTTATCCATAGGTAAAATACGTCTGATCCTTCTAAGAGCCAAATCCCCTACTAATACTTTGATCTTAGTAAAATAAATAAAACTATATTTAAATCCATGAGACCCACTACTAAACTACCAGAATTGCTTGTGGTTGGTTGCGTAAATGAATCAATAAGTAAATGTCTGGGTCAACGTCATTCTCCCTACCGCCAAATTTGGTGTGACACGGATGTTCAAAGGTTTTCCAGCCGGCGCCGCCCATGCCCTCTCCTCAAAGTTGAGTTGAAAAGGCCAGAGTAAAGTTTATAACAAAGCACGCTGCCCCAAATATTCCAGGGGCGGTTGAGGATCGATCGAGTTCCGAAACAAGCACTAACAGATCGTCGTTGTCAAGCCTGGGGAAAAAACACTTTGAAGGTATTTTTGAGTATTCCAAAGTCTTCCTTTGAATTCTGCATTGGCAAAGATGACTAAAATACGCCTTGCTAGCTGGAGTAACTACACGCGGTTGGCTTTATACAACTCCCATGGGATGTTTTCGTTAAAGTATTAGTTGAAAGTGAAAGAGGAAGCAATCTATACTGGTGTCAGTCTCGGACATCTCAGAGTCTCTAAGTTCCCTTGCATGGAATTGGTTCCACAATCAGAGCTACCAGATACAATTTATCGTTAGAACCATCGCTATTTACAATTAGTTTTTTTGATCAATTGGAAGACTAAACAATGCTTGTCCGGAGAAAAATATAATCAACTACCATCTAGATTGATTACCGGTCCCTCGTGTTTTGGCATGCATTCATGGTCTCTTTTCGTGGAAAAAACACATTTCATTAAAATACTAGTTTTATGGCTTCGATACTTTCAAACGAAATTCAATGTTTAAGTTGTTGGAATAATAATGTGTGCCGTCTACAATGTGGTTAAATTAAAACTAACTAATAGCCGCTTTATGAATAAAACAGCAAACGAAGTTAAGAAGTCAACAAGTTTTTCTTATAGTCATTAATACGTTACTAAATTCCTTAAAATACACCATGCATGGGTGTGTAGTGGAAATATTATTGAAAGAAAATTGTTAGTAACAGACTACATTTTGGAGTTTTTTTTGCGCGAGCGAGCCGAAATACTTTGGCAAAGTCTTGCACTTTAATTTTAAACGCAGTATAAGCCAACTTCAGTTTCTCTGGTGTGTGAAGTTTTGAGAAAACTCTTTTACTTTTGAATTGATTGCCTGTATTAATTCAAAAACGTTTTTAAAAAAATCGAAAATCGTGGGACTGAAAAGCTTCTATAGCTTTAATTATGACTCTTTTGTTGAAGTTCTTACTGAGTTTCGAAGTTTCTCCTTAGACAATCTCGTATCCAGAGCCTTTGTTTCTTAGCGCAGTAAGAAATAAAGGCTCCGGGTACGGGTACCAGATTGATCCTTAGAGAGAAACATTACCTTGCGCATGCGTCGGACGAAAGCAAGTTTAACTTGCAAAAGAAAGAAACTTTTGTTGAAATCAAACTACAGCTTTTTTCCTTTTCCTACTTGCATCATCTTCTTGTTTTTCTTTTTCTTTTCGTTTTCGAACTTCTCCTTCTTCTTCTTTCTGTTCTTCTTTTTTTCTTTTTCTTTTTCTCCTTCTCCATCAGTTACAGTCGCGTCGTTTATCAGTCAAGAGAGCTAACAATGAGTGAACCACAGACGACAACAACGGAAGAGCCAAAGTCACAGGCGCCACCTGATTATCAGCAGTCTTCTCCAGAACAATACCCCATTCAGGTTCCGCCCATGATGCAGCAAGGTCAGCCAATGATGCAGCAAGGTCAGCCAATGATGCAGCAAGGTCAGCCAATGATGCAGCAAGGTCAACCAATGATGCAGCAAGGCCAACCAATGATGCAGCAAGGTCAGCCAATAACGATGCAGCCAGGTCAGCCAATGATGCAGCAAGGTCAACCAATGATGATGCAGCAAGGTCAAATGGCACCAATGCATTCCCAAACTACCAGCAATACAAACGTGGTAATGATCAACCAGCAGCCTGTTACTGCCCGTGCTGCCCCACGAGAGTGGAGTACGGGATTGTGTGGCTGCTTTGACGACTGTGGCACTTGTAAGTGTAAAAACTTTAATTCTGTGCTGGGCACAAGGCACATAATACAGCACGAGAATACACTGGTACAGGATGGACGATACAGGGCACATGGTACAGGATGGACGATACAGGGCACAGGGCACATGGTACAGGATGAAGGATACAGGGCACAGGGTACAGGATGAAGGATACAGGGCACAGGGTACAGGATGAGGATACAGGGCACAGGGTACAGGATGGAGGATACAGGGCACAGGTTACGGGATGGAGGATATAGGGCACAGCACAGGGCACAGGATGGAGGATATAGGGCACAGTGTACAGGATGGAGGATATAGGGCACAGAGTACAGGATGGAGGATATAGGGCACAGGGTACAAGATGGAGGATATAGGGCACAGGGTATAGGATGGGAGATATAGGGCAACGGGGAATAGGATGAGGATACAGGGCACAGGGTACAGGATAGAGGATACAGGGCACAGGGTAAAGGATGGAGGATACAGAGCACAGGGTACAGGATGAGGATACAGAGCACATGGTACAGGAGGAGGATACAGGGCACATGTGCATGGTACAGGATACACGGGTAATGGGCACAGGGTCACAGTGGGTACAAGGGACAGGGACACAGTTGTGTACAAGGGACAGGGTCACAGTGGGTACGAGGCACAGGGTCATAGTGGGCACGAGGGAGAGGGTGTCAGTTGGGTACAAGGGACAGGGTCACAGTGGGTACAACGGACAGGGACACAGTTGTGTACAAGGGACCGGGTCACAATGGGTACAATGGACAGGGTCACAGTTGTGTACAAGGGATAGGGTCACAGTGGGTACAATGGACAGGGTCACAGTTGTGTACAAGGGACAGGGTCACAGTGGGTACAATGGACAGGGTCACAGTTGTGTACAAGGGACAGGGTCACAGTGGGTACAATGGACAGGTTAACAGTTGTGTACAAG